TGTTCCCCTTTTTAACTGTTTAGTCCATTTGCAAGTGGCTGAGATTATGGCTTAATTCCTCAACGTGGAATCTCTAAGGATGATGGAAATCATCCACCCCATCCAATGTGAAAAGTAAGGCTGCTTTATGTATCCTGATGCTCAATATGTCCAAATTCATCCATTTTCCCTTAGGAGAACCATTCCCTATTTTTTAATTGAACTGTTGTCCCAGACCAATCAACAAAGCGCTCTAGCATTCTCTTATAAAAAAACTATGTTGTAAGGTAATTGTAGCAGACCAGACTTAGCCCAATCACAGGAAACTGATGATCAACATCCTGAATTTACAGTTTTCAAAAAGAAAGTGTCTCCAAAATTCCCACGATTTTCTCTTTTAAAATCCCTTGTTTAGCTTTTCAAGATTCAAATAGGCCTAGGGACCCAAACACTGAATAACATGATATTTTGCCACCTCTTTGTGTTGTTGTGACGTGTTGCTCTCCTGTTTCTCCAGGATGCGGTGCGGAATTCTGTGTGTCACACCGCCACAGTTATTGCAAATTCCTTCATGCATTGTGGAACCACCAGCGATCAGTTCCTTAGGTAATAGCACATAGCGGGGCAGGATAAGGACGCTTCAGGGGTGTGTTTGGACACTTCCAGGGGACTAGCCTGGAAGGGAAGGAAGTGTATGCTTTGCATGTGAACCAGGAACAGACTTGCTGGGAACCACTGTGTGGGGTGTGGGTCAGATCAGTCTGTATATTGAACCACAGTGTGTTCTGGTCAGTGTAAGATATTGTGAGAAGGTTGGGAACGGAATGGAAGGGGGAGCAAACATAAAGAACCAAGAGACAGGAAACAGAAAGTAGCTCGGTTGCTTATCTCATAAACGGCAACTCCATCCAGGTGGCAAGAAACGAGGGAAGAAACGTTTCAGAGCGTTCAAAGAAATCCGCTGTAATGAACATACACTGGGTTGGAAATTCCTCTTGCCGTTGCCAGGATTTACGCCAGACTAGCATTAAAGAGACTTTAGGAAAGTCTGTGATGCCTGCTTCCTTCACCTTGTCCAGCTGCATCGGTCTTAACAGTGGGATGAGTGATAATTTTATCTGTTGTTTTTTTTTTAAATTGCCGTTTTATCCTTTAGCATAATTCAGGGCAATTTCTCCGCTATTCTGCGTCGATGCAGTTTAGTGTCTTGTTCCTGCCAATCTGGTTGTTCTGAAGGTTTGTGAAATTTGAAGAGGATCAAATAATGACATGCAAGTGCCAGTTGTACAGACGAGAACTTGGCCGAGATGCCTGACTCAGCACAGCTCGACAAGACTCTTAGGCGCCTTCTTGGCTTCAGACTCTCAGACATGATACAGCTAGATAAGGCCTTTGCTGTGTCCTGGGAGGGAGCCAGCGACAGGAGATCGGCTGCCCTTTGCTTTGCATTTTTCATCTTGTAGCATTTGAGTAGTTCAGAACCAAAAACTAGCGAAGCCAGAGAGATAAAATGGGGTCTCCTTGACGTCAGCTGCTAATATCTAAGCATTGTTTGCCTTTTCTAAACAACCCAGGTCTAATTTTCCATTTTCCTCTCTGCAGAGACAATTTGGAGTGGCTTGCCAGGGCTACTAATTGGGCCAAGTTCACTGCCACAGCCAGCCTTGGTGTCATTCATAAGGTAATAAGACCAAGTTATTTGTTCCACTGGATTTGATTTTTAACCTGTCTTAACTTCTTAATGGTTGTCTTTATGAACGGCTACAGTCTCCATGTGCAGGCTGCAATTCTGACCTAGCTTTCAGACAAGGGCAACGTAATTATTAAGCGGGTTGGAGAGGTTTCGCACATGATACATCATTAGAGTACTGTTCATTGCACACCCCTTCATAATTTGGGAGCTTAACACATGTTTATCTGGAAAGAAACTTTACAACTGGAAATTCCACATGTGAGTCCATTTATAGCTGTGTGATCCTGAGAAGATGGGGGGGGGAAGCTTTTAATGTGTCATTTGTGGATGTTAGGAGAAAGCATATGTTCCAAGGGGTAAACAACTGTCAAGCTTTACATTTTGAAGATATTTTATTTATTTAAATATTCTATTTATATGCCACCCAGTTCAAATATAGGTAGCCCTTGCTTAATGACTGCCCTGTTCAGTGACCATTCAAAATTATGATGGTGCTGAAAAAGTAACTTTATAACCAGTCCTCATACCTACAACTGTTGCAGCATCCCATGGTTGAGATTTGGGCACTTCACCGCTGGTGGGTGTTTATGACCATTGCAGTGTCACGTGATTGGCATTTATACCCTTCATAGCTGGCTTCTGACAAGCAGAGTCGATGGAGAAGCCAGCAGTAAAACTGCAAGCTGCGGTCATGTGATATCTTCCTTAACAACTGCAGGTGATTTGTTTAATGACCACAGTGGAAGTGAGGTTGTAAATCTTATTGCAGTCATATGATGTCTCACTTAACGATCGTGTTGCTTAGCAATGGAGTTACCAGACCCAGTTGTTAAGTGAGGGTTTTCAGCAGTTGACAGTGTATACAGGCTTTTACATCCATTGATCATTATAAATAAATGCTCTATAGTCAGTTTAGTCGAACAGTACTGATGAACATTGTTCCCAAGTCAGCAGTCGACACATTCAGACATAGAGGGCATCAGATAAGCTTATGTGGTATACTTAAATCTGTTTTCTTTCCAAAAGCATCTTGCTGGAAGCAAAATCGCTAAATAGAGGAAAGGGAGGTCTTATTAGATCCATACATGCTTAACGTGGTGGCTTCTACCTTTTAAAAATTGTTCAACAAAATCATAACAAAAGAAAGGTGCTGGCAATTAACAGAAGTGTGTCTTGGTAGAGTTTCTGTTTTTATCCTCTGCTTCAGTGCCTTTTTGGCCCCACTTCTGCCTAGTAGAAACAATAACTTTAATACATTGCCTTTTCTTCCAAGAGTTCAGTTTAGCTAACAAAATGAAGCAACAGGTCTTAACAATTTACTAACGTATATACTAATGCATACAAATGTAATAATAAGTAAAAAATAAAATAAAATGTGAAAATAATGATTTCAAAAACTGTAGATTATTTATTTATTTACTTACTTACTTAATTACTCACTGGATTTATAAGGCCACCCAACTCAAAACAATGTGACTCTGTTAAAAGCCACATGCAGCAAAGTAGCAATTTCCAGGTCAGTTGTTTTTCTGAAAAGGAAGAACCAATAGAAGAGAATCTCTAGCTCAGGGTTGAGCTGTGGAGTCCTTGGGGCTTGGTGGTTTGCTCTGCAGACGTTTCCTTACCCAACAAGTAACCTCATCATCAGTGCTAGGGAGGGTGGTGCTTGCTCCCTGTTTCTATACCGTGGCTTGCCCTGCCGTTGTTGGTGGGGGTGAGGCTTTCTCACTGGCAGTTCCTTGATTAGGGTGTTGTTTTCTGCTAGATGGTTTGTCTGGGGTTAATCCCTGCTTATCTGGGTGTTGGTTGCTGGAGAGGTTGTGTTCTGGTCTTCTTGTTTCCTTCTTAGCTTTTTTATTGTCTCTTTTGAATGGTATGTAAATATGTTTTATTTCTAGGAGTATCAAGTAAAAAGGAAGATTTTTAGAAAGTGGTTGAAGAAGAAAGAGAATGGCTTTTCACAGTCCTTCTGTTCTTTTCTGGTGGATTTCTAGGGTCATGAGAAAGAAGCTCTTCAGCTGATGGCAACGTACCTCCCCAAAGACACATCTCCAGGGTCAGCCTATCAGGAAGGGGGCGGCCTCTATGCCTTAGGGCTCATCCATGCCAATCATGGAGGCGACATCATAGACTACTTGCTGAACCAGCTGAAGAATGCCAGCAATGATGTATGTGCTACCACACCTGATGCAGGGAAGGCAGGACCTTAAGCCAGGCTGGGTGATGTTCCTCAGGCTGCTGAGACTTGGCCCAAAGCTCTGTTACCTGTCCTGGAAATTAAATCACACAATTAAATTAAATTTAAGGGCTGGAAAATAGACCCCTTAAATCATAAAACCATTAAGAAGAACTAATACCCAGTTTCGTTTCCCAGCTTCTGGAAATGATGTTGCAGTGAATGAAGAAGAGCAGAAGCCTAAAAGGAAAGAGAGAGGGTAGTGTAGCAGGAGCAGGGAGGCCCAGGTTCTTGTCTCCCCTCAGCCACAGAAGCTTCCTGGGGGGACTTTGGGCCAGACCCCCCTCCCCCTCAGCTCAAGAACCAGTGTGGGGTATTGGGGAAAGTGTTGAACTAGGGGCAGGGAGACTTATGTTGTAGTCCCTTCTCAGTCACAGAAGGGCTTTGGTAGACCAGCCCAACCTACCTTACAGGTTTGTAGTGAGGAAAAATGTCAGGGAATGTCTGTATAACACCTTGAGCTCCTGAACAAATAAAAAAACCCCGTGGGGCAGTGGTTAAGGTGTTGGATTAGAATTGGAGAGACCCACATTCAAGTCCATGCTCAGCCATGGAAACTCTTGGAATGACATTGGGCCAGTCACTCATGGAACAACCTTTTCCTCATCCTGTGGGAATAAAACAAAAAGGGATCGCCGTGGAAGCTCCCTAGGCCCCTAAAGAAAAAGTAGATAGACATCTAACAAATAGAATAGCTGAAATATGCCCATTTCATAGTTTCAGACCAGTTAGCAAAGCACTTGCACTCCAAAATAGGAACAGTATTGAAGTAAAACAAGGACTTGGAAAGTGGGTTTCTTTGGCTCTCGGATTTGGTTGCCTTCTCTCTGGGAGCTGGAGAACACCAATGGTCCTCTTGCTTTTTTTGCAGATCGTTCGGCATGGGGGAAGCCTGGGGCTTGGCTTGGCCGCCATGGGGACAGCGCGCCAAGATGTCTATGACCTCCTGAAAACCAACTTGTATCAGGATGATGCAGTGACAGGTCAGTTCCTGCTTCTAAGACAACCATATTTCTAGGTGTGCCTGGCCTTGTGTTCGTGAAGATGGTCACCTTGTCCTTGCGATGCACCACTCAGCCTATGTGAAGACTGTTATGATGGCAGTTGAATTTCTAGTGAGAGAAAGCTAGCATGTCAGCAGAAGGCTAGGCTAGGCACTTCTCTCTGACGTGCTACATATCTGATGTAGAGGATATTTAAGAAAACGCAGTCATGCCTGCTGCCTCGGCTCTTTTTTTAAATTTATATTTATTAAGAATTTTTTCCATACACTAAAAGACAAATCGAAAGAAAAAGAGAAAAACAAAAAAATGCAAGAAACGAAAAAAGAAAAGAACTGAAGTTAAGAAATATATTGACTTCTGATCTTCTTTTTAACAGATAGTTACAATTTTATAATCCCTCCTCCCTCTTAGATATTACATAAGTCCCTTCAGCCCCTCATTTAGTCTGAGTCTGCATGAACTCGTAAGCCATCACTGCTGAGCCAGTCTGGTTCCTCCTCTGGTGCGCTACTGAATGCAGATTTAGTTTGGCAGCGTTGCATTGCCAGAGGAATTCAGTTTTTAATTTGGAATTCATACTGTTGATGCATCTTTGCCTGGAGGAGAGCCATAGTGGGGTAACGGATAAGATGTTGGACTGGGGAGATCCAGGTTCAGGTCTCTCCTCAACCACAGAAGCTCATTGGGTAACTTTTGGACCAGTCATTCTCTCTTAGCCTAGCCTACCTCACAAGGTTGTTGCTGTGGGGAAAAATGGGAAACGTCTACAGGTACAGAATGCAGTGATTTTTCTAATTACAAATGTGGCTAAAAGTATTGGTCCCCCTCCACTTTTTCCCAAAGAATCCCAATCTGCTGTGAAATAAGTTGAAACTGACACAAGAAAATGACATCTGCCATTCTTTATTCCGTAGTTCGTAGAGCAGTCTCTTCGCTTTTGATTATGACTTAACATCAAGATGCTGGTAATTACTTAAAAAGCCCCTTATGTCTTAGAGCCTGGAAACCTCTGCCCACCCAGTCTGTGCAAGCAGACAGTGCCTGCTCTGGAGCCCACCCTAACATGACACGAGGGGGCACGAAGGCTGGCATTCTCTGGGGGAGGCTCCCTGTGTTTGGAACTGCTTGCTACCTAAAGCAAGAGCACCTCTCACTCCCACGGCCTAATTCAGAAAGCTTCTGAAATTTGACTGTTTGGGAAGTGAGTAATTAGGCCTATGAAGGATGAGCATTGTGCTAGGAGTAGATTTATGATTGCATCGATACTGCGTTGCTTTTATGCACACCACTCAGTCTTTCAGGCCAAAGGGGCCCATTCTTCATTCTCCTTTATTCTTTTCCACTCAAAAGGTGAAGCAGCTGGTCTGGCTCTGGGCCTGGTGATGCTGGGATCTAAAAATGCTCAGGCCATCGAGGACATGGTGGGCTATGCCCAGGAAACCCAACACGAGAAGATTTTGCGGGGCTTAGCAGTTGGCATCGCCCTGGTGATGTACGGGAGAATGGAGGAAGCTGATGCCCTCATAGAGAGCCTCTGCAGAGACAAGGTGATTGGAGCCCTTTTGGCAACTTTAGGACGCACTCGGTCATTTTTTGAGAAGGAATCGTTAATGTTTGGCTTTTGCCGCTGAGCATCCACCCCCAACCTAGTGCCCTTTGGAGGATGAGTAGGGGCTGCCGAGAGCCACACTGGCTGGAATTCTGGAAACTGCAGCCACAACACGTTTGGGCAGTTTATGGGACTTCATACCCACCTTCCCTAGTGACTGGCCTCCAAAATAGCTGTAGTAGTAGTAGTAGTAGTAATAATAATAATAATAATAATAATTCCTAAATTATGTTTAGCTGATCTATTCAATTATGGTATGCTTAGGCCTACAGCTGAGCCAGACCTAACACTCTGGGAATAGATGTTCTGTAGAAGATTCCATTCCTCTTCATGCCAGCTCTTCCAAGGATGGCCTAGGGTTTTCTGGAAGTTATTCTTCCAGCATTTAGTGGTGTTCCTACCCTGAAACAGGCTTGTTTCATCCAGAACACCATGAACTGGTACCAGTTGGGAGTATTAATTTCTAGGAAATTTCTGAAATATGCCTAGATTGCACCTTCCAAAGTTCTCCAGAGTATTCTGTCCCCGGAACATTTATGTTTTGCACGTACTTAGTTACACCTGTCACTGGAGCAATAACCTAAGGGTAATTTATTTTTCCAGTCTCCAGATAGACAGGTGGGAGTCAAGAGTCAGCCCAACATCTTCATTTTCCTTAAGACAAAAAAAAAAATCCAAACAAAAGCTAGTCAGTCTTGCCATTGTTCTGGTATGCTGGGTGTCCTGGTTCTGGTTGCTGTTGGAATGAGTGTGGAGCAACTAAGATGGTGAGGGGCTTGAAGGCTGAATCCTATGAGGAACAGTTAAAGGAACTGGGTCTGTTTAACCTGAAGAAGAAAAGGCTGAGGAGAGACACGATGGCTGTCTCCCAATACTGGAATGGCTGTCCCAGGGCAGAGGGAGTAGATTTATTCTCCAGAGCACCCAGGGGCTGGACAAGAACCAGCTGAAACTTCTGGTTACTCTTCAAGGGCAGGCCCATGCAGAGCATGTTAAAGTAATCCTTGTGTGAGGTGACCAGGGCATGAGTGACTGAGCACAGGGCCTCCCTGTCCGGGAATAGGTGCAACTGGCGCACAACCCAAAGTTGCTCAAAGATTCTCCTAGCCATGACTGCCACCTACTCCACAAGGAGGAGGAGTGAGTCCAGAAGGACCCCCAGCTTGCATACCAGATCTGTTTGGGACTAGAGGAAATGTAGCGCTGCATTTTAAAAATAAGTAATTTTGCAGCTTGGGAAATACCTGGGAAATACAGTTGGAAAATGAACTTGTAGGAAACTAACTGCTTATAAATCTGTTAGTCCATCTTAGCTCAGTCATGTCTTCTCTGGCAGGGGTTTGGATAGAGGTCTTTGTAGGTTTTGCTGGAGATTGATCTGTGGGCAAAACTTATTGTGCCACTGAATTTTGCCCCTTTTTCCCCCCAGCGAAGTTTAAAATGCATTCTTTTTTCCAGGACCCTATTCTCCGTCGTTCAGGGATGTACACTGTGGCAATGGCTTACTGTGGCTCAGGAAACAACAAAGCGATCAGACGTCTGTTGCATGTTGCGGTGAGTGCTCCTTGCTCTGGAGTAGACCCTAGGAGAATTGGGATGCCAAATGAAACTCTTGTGTGAGTCTTTGTAGAGTGGGTTAATTCCAACATTCTGCTAATCATGTTTTGAGCTTCTGGCAGGCAAAGAAACCTGCATACGAATTCTCTGTTCTCACTTTGGAGTCCAAGTTCACTCCCCTTACCAGAATATGCCCACCTCATCCTAGAAGGCTGTGAAAATGGTATTTTCCCGAAGAAACTATACCACTCAGGAGTGTCCTGATCAGAAGCATCCAGGCATTGAGCTCCATTGTATGGAGCCACATGTTAGGGTTGTTTCTGTTTTTGCCCACATGTCAACAGCCAGGAGTTTTATTAATTTATTTTATTTATTAGACATGTTTCTCTGCCACTGCAATCAAAAAGACTCTGTGGCTCGCATAAAAAAGGTACAAGTGAAAACATCCATAGTGAAAAAGAAAGACAGTACTTCTAAAACAGTCCAGAAGTAAAAACTCCTTAATATAAGATAAGAATAAGATAAAGAAGAGTAGAATGACAATATATCAGGGGAAGGTTCTTCAAATCAGCTTGGTCTTTAACAGTAAAGACCAAGATCAGTCAGCCTGATCTCCATGAGTTGTTAGGAGTAGCCAACATACAAATGGTTGTCAATAATTCTTCAGCAGAAGCGACATATGTAACACTGCTCTGTCTTCCAAATATTGCATTAAACCATGGTTTGAAAACCCACTTTAGACCACAGTTACTAATTTGGCAGCTAGTTGCTTTTTGCCAATTGGAAATTAATCAGGGGGACATTTCCTTATCACTGGTGTTGTGTGGCCTCAGAAGTGAGACTACATGTTTTAATACTATTCATGATCACGAAGGGCAGTTTTCAGATTAGTGTTGAAGTGATGCATTAAACAGGAAACAAAAATCACCTTTTGGAACCAACCCATGGCAATTTTATTCCAGCTGAACTAACATAGTCCAAACGTTTCAAGTTCTGTTGATGAATATGACTTGCTGTCCCCTGTAAAGCCAGATTCCCATCTCTAATAAATGCTCTAAATGAGCGATTTCCATATGTTTAGCCTGCTTTAGTCTTTGCTTTTTTTCTTTTTCATAGGTGAGTGATGTCAACGATGATGTCAGACGAGCAGCTGTTGAATCTCTGGGCTTTATTTTGTTCAGGTACGATCACTGTTTTCAACCACCTGGCAGTATCCAGAAAGTTTTATCTGAAGTTCTAAGTATTCATTTTGTTTCGTACTATGTACAATGAGATGGTTTCTGGTGATGTGGGGGTTGGAAGCACTCTTCCCGCTTCCAAGGATGGTCTCCAGGTAGTGTTAGATGACTGCCTCAGTACTCTGGCAGAACTTTGGTGCCCAAAGATATTGTTGTGTTCCCAATGCTTTTTCACTTCTCTAGGAAGTCACCTGGGAGGACATTAGAAGTTCAGAACTAGATGCTATCAATTCATTGATGACACATTGATGACACTGACCTCTGTTTCTTCATAACCTCTGAATCAGGAGAAGCTGTACATGTTCTGAACCAGGCCCTGGATGCAGCATGGGCTGGATAAACCTCTGTCTGTCAATCTGTTTATCTATATATCAACATTTTTCTACTGTCCTCCTAATGACTCATGGTGATTGAGGTTTAATCCTGACCAGATGGAGATTCCATGGTAAGGTATCTCCCAGTTATGGGAATTGAGGAATTCCCTTGTTCTAAATGGAGTTCAATTCAATTAGGAGAAATAAGTATGTAATTTGGAGGTGTTCCTAGAACTGTGATCCTCCATAGAAGTCAAGGGGATTTCCTTGGCCAGGAGTATCAAACTCTGATTGGTATGGCAGCTACGCCCTTTCCTGGATAGGATGAGCCACTAGTCACTGTTGTGCACGCCCAGGTGGCTTAGGTTACGGCAAAGTGCTCTAGGTAGGGCTGCTTTGTACCTTGGTCTGAAAGCTGCAGCTGGTTGCAGAATGTTGGGCGAGCATCTGGCTGTGTATCAGTGCTGAAGCAACTAGAATTGTGGATTGTCCTTTGGATATCACTTGCAGACATGGTGTCTCAGTGGGGGTGCCTGCTCTTTGTACCGTTGTCCCCTGATACTTGAGGAATGCCTGCTATTACATCACTGTAGGCATCCCCGAGAGCCAGTTAGTGTAGTGGTTAAAGTGCTGGACTAGAAACTGGGAGACCATGAGTTCTAGTTCTGACTTAGGTACAAAAGCTGGCTGCATGACTTTGGGCCAGTCGCCCTCTCACAGGGTTGTTGTGGTGGAGAAAATAGGCAAGAACATTATGGATGCCACCTTGAGTTGCACAAATAAAGGGAGATAATCTGATAATAAATAAGCCCAAAGAACCATCTTTGTATTGTCTTTATAGACCTTGTCTGTGTGAAGGTAGAAAGATTTGAAGTTATTTCATTTGCAGTCCCATCCATTTGAATGCATGTTTTGTAGCACCTGTTGTTACATTGGTTTGTTATTTTAAATTTTAATTATAAACTGCTTTGAAACCTTAAAGTTCATATTTTTCACAAGCATTCATATTTTATGAGAATGGTATATAAATGTTTTTAACAGTAAATAATACATTAAGTTGGTTTTCGCTTCATTCACAGACTGTGTGGTTTGTGTCAAATGTATAGGTTCAGAAGGAAGCGCTCTTTGTCTCAGATTTGTACTTTGGAAGATTCTTTGTGTCAGGAATGGGTAGATTTAAAGCCTGTGAGATTTATTCCTTATGACACCTCAAGTTCACAGGTTGGCTGAGCCACCCACAAAACATACTTCAAATGAAAGAACAAAGCATTTGTGGGTTTAATGATGAATACAGAATTGAGGAAAATTGAGGTCAAGTGAATTTTGAAGAAGTTCCTACATTTGAGACTTGCTTCTGCAATTTGAGAATAACTGTCACTGAACATTCCCATTGCCAGCAGTGGATGTGAGTGCATGAAAACATTTTATGATGTTATAATGGATGCTGCGTATCAGATCAAAGTTGGCTAATATTAAGGCAATGATGTGCAAAAATATATTTTGAGCAGGTTCTGCATGGGGAAAAGGAAAAGAAAAAGTATATAGGTAGTCTTCATTTAGCAACTGCAATTGGGACTGGAAACTTGGTCGTTAAGCGAAGCAGTTGCTAAGTGAAAAATCACATGACCGTGACTGCTAGGGATTGCCTAATTTCTTCTAAACTGACTTTGAGGATAAATAAAGGTTGCCACTGTTCCAAAATGACAGGGTTCTTCTGCTAAGGTTATCTCATTAATTCTTCTGGTAGTACAGCTTCTCAAGACCTGGTGGGGCAAGTTACATATTTTCTGTTTCATTTATTCAGAGGAGCAGTCGATGATGAAGAATTGAAACTTTATATAATAATAACACATTAGCATGGTATGCAAACTGTTTCTGTTTAGAGGAACATCAACAAAAACTCCACACCGGTTTACTTTGTCATAAGGGTTACCAGCATCTCTCTTTTAGTTTCTTTCTTAATAAACTTACTGGCTCATTTTCTTTTGCTTTTCCACTTTCCTCACCCCTTGCCCTCCAAGTTCTTTCCTTTCTGCCTTCTTCCATGTAAATAAGTGTCTAAATAATACCTTACTACCTTTCCACTAGAGCAGCAATGTACCACTTGAGTTCAAAGCTGTTAAACAAACTAGAGCTTGGTGTGATGTGTGAACTCAACCAATAAAAGGGAATGGGACTTCCCACAATCCCACTACCATCTGTTTTTCTGTAGCTTAGAGATCTCTGAGTTTGCTCCTTGCTTAATATTAATAACCCAATAACTGTGGTAGGTGGGTAGGGGAGTACCTTTTTTCCGAAAGAATGGAGGACTTGGTTGGCATCCCTGATTATTGTTTTTTGAAAAGAAAATGTGTAATTTCTCCATGAAATCACCTGGGCTGGCCACCTACTCCTTACGGTGATGTCTCAGGGAATTTTACGGTGAAATGAAAAGAACAAAATAAAACATTAAAAATCTAAAGCAAACCAACTTGTGCTCCAACAGGTCATTGGCTTGAGATGGACTATCCCGTCTTCCCCAGTCTTTTGCCTTCCAGAAGGAATAGGATCTTCTCCTTTGACTCCTTTGCTGGCTGGTTATTGGGGGGGGAAGGGTACTATTTGTGGAGTCCTTGGTGATCTCTGAGTTTGGTTGCTTGATTGCAGACATTTCATTACTTGACTAGGTAACATCATCAGTGCTAGTGAGTGTGGGGTTTGCTCCCTGTTTATATGCAGTAGCTTGCCCTGCCAGTGTTGGTGGGGGTGTGGTTTTCTCCCTGGTAGTTCCTTGATTAAGGTATTGTTTTCTGCTTGATTGTTTGTCTGCTCGATCAAGGCATTACCAAGGAGAAAACCACACCTCCACCAAAACTGGCAGGGCAAGCTATTACACGTATACCGACAGCCAACCCCACACTCCCTTCCCCTGATGATGTTACCTAGTTGGGTAATGAAATATCTGTAAGCAAACAGCCAAGCTTAGAGATCACCAAGGACTCCACAGTTCAACCCTGAGCTACATACATTCTCCTCTAAGGGTGATATTTATCTGTCTGACTTTGCTTTCTGGTATATTATTATATGTTGGTTTAATTGATAGCTCCTCTAGACTTCCTGTTGAAGGAAGCCAGTTCTGACCTGTAGTTATTTTTGAGGGATGGGCACCATCAACTGCAAATTTGTTTGTTTTGGAACTATAAATGTATTCTGGAAATTGTCCCTTTCCTGTCTCTCCAATTTCTGAGAGTGCGGCTCATAACTGGTTTTGTACACTCCTCTCATACCCTGTTTAAGCAGCAGAGGTCTCCTCAGAGCTGTTGTGTTAACTGTGTGGCATGGCTCAGTCATAAATGACTGTCTGCCAAGACAACCAGTGCTGTTTATGTGTGTGTGTGTGTATGCAGAAGGTACATTCCATGCACTCCTTCCATGTTTTCAGGGATTTTTCTCCAAATAGGTTGTGACAAAACATTTTTGTTCTATGATCTCATAGAGGTTTTACCCTTTAGCCAAGGAAAAAATCATATTTGGAAGTTGAGAACTTCCTGCTAGACATTGGTGCAATACATCTTCTGAACGAACATGACCTTTTCGTTCTGTCTCCCCCCCCCCCCAGTCAATGACACACTTTCTATAGTTGGAACTTTTCATGCCTGAGTAGTGTAACTAATTCACTGTAATTTTAATCATTAGTTTATGTTTAACTCCCCAATAAACAGTAAAGAGGACAAAAATATTTAGCATTTATTCAGCTCTTTAACTATTCAAAGCACTTCTTGTACATTAGGAAGGATGAGAAAAATGTCTATGGTAAACTGTGCCACTTTTATATTTTATTTATTTATTTAGCAAGACTATATGGTCACCCATCTTAAACAATAACTCCAGGCAGCCAACAAAAAAACATGGATATAAAAATACAATATTAAAAAAATCCATGAAACAACGCCAGCTACTTGACAACACAAAAGAGGACATCTGTACTGGGAGAGAAAAGCCAGGCCTTCAAATACACATGTTGCATGAGCACGTGCATGCACGCATATGCATATGGACTTGTGTAAGTGTATACTGATAATTCCATTCCATTAATTTGAATTGTTTAAAAAGAATCCAGAATAATATGAGGTTTAATGCTGCAAACTGCAATGCAGCATTCAGAAAAGTACAATATTTGTTGGAGAGCCAAGTTCTTTGAGCTGTACGCCAGCCGGGAAATGTAAACCAACTCATTTTGTTTCCAGGTCTAGAACACTTGGATTCTTCCACATCTCTAACTTTGCCTTAGTAATTTTTGCCATAATCTTGGAAAGTCATTCAGTCAGAAGAAGTTATTACCTTGAGAAAGAAGAACCAGAGATTCTAAAGAGGAGCAGAGACTTCACGTACTCTGCCTTCCTGGGTAGGATCAGCTTCAAGGAGTTTGCAGTTTCAGAGCATTTCATGTGACACAACTTTTGCTAACCTGATACCACCTAGATCTTCTGGACTGAGACTCCAGAAGCCAGGGTAGGGCCCTTGCCTCAAATTAAAGCATCCAGGTTCTAATATGCAAGGGAATTTTCACACCATTTAAAATGCGAGCTAGTGTTCACTAGCTCATAGCTCATAGAGATAGGGTCTAGTGATTTACCCTGGAAATATTTGGGGAAAATGAAGTCTAAATACATACTTTTTTCCCTCTAGGCAATATGGTAGGGATATGTAAATGCTGTTCCCAGAATGTTATAATTCTGCTCCTGGAACTGGCTGATCAGAACATTCCACAAATAGTTTATATATTTCCAGAAATAGGTCTTCTGGGACTGGAAGTGGTCCATGGTCTTCCAAGGCTAGAACCACATCTGGAAGTATACCTTGCAGAAATGTATAAACCACCCCTGAAATGCTTGGATAGTCTGTTCGGGGGGGGGGGGGGAC